AAGGCCCCGGCCTCGCCGCGGCCTGCAGCCTGAGCTCGCTGCGGGATCCGAGCCTGCAGCCCCACAGGGAGGCCGCCCTCCTGCCGGCTGCGGCCGCAGAGCCCTCATGGGGCCCCCGGGATCGCAGCAGCTCCTTCGCTGGCAGCCGCCTCCACGGCGAATGGCGACGCGGGGACCCCCAGGCCCCGAGGGAGTTGCTGGGTGGAGCTAAGAGTGGACCAAGGGGCACCCAAAGGGTGGACAGGACCCCTAGGGAGCCATCTTCCTGGGGGGCTGTGACTGGGAAGTCTATGTCGGCCGAGGACCTTCTGGAACGCTCGGACGTCCTGGCTGTCCCAGTCCACGTGAGGTCCAGGTCATCTCCCATTGCGGACAAGAAGCGCCAGGTACGTGCAGCCAGTGGGGCTTGGCTTAGGACTGTCCCTTTGGCCCTGGAAGCTCTCGTGCGACTCCTCTAACCTCTCTTCTCCCTCCTTGCTCAGTTTTCCTTTTAAATGCAGAAAAGTAGCACTCATTTTAATAGGGATTCTTTCTCGGTGCTCCTACCTGGTTTATATTATATAGTTTCATAGATAGATATCACCGCATTTTAAGAAGTTACCCATTTCTCAATGCAAGAATACAAGGTTAGGAAAAATTAAGGATTTTATTTATTTTATTTATTTATTTTTGCTTTTTTTTTCTTTCATTGCATAGAAACTGTGTCTGAGTATTTTAAATACTTTAGCTTTGCACCCTCTGTTTCTTTTGCATCTACAAAATAGCAAGAATTATTGACATTGATAGTCATTGGTTGTTGAATTCCTGGCCCTTTACATTTATTACCTCATTTAAGCCTCAACGATAATCCCATCCGGTAAATTGCCCATATGAAACCCATGTCTCTGACTCCTATCTGAGCTCTTTCTGTGCACTATCCTCGTGTGGTAGGAAAATCACAGACATTGAAAATCTCACATAAAGGGATTTTATAATAAAGGCTCCAAACTAAGGAAAGATTATGAAGTGTTTTCCACTGGAAATTTCAAGCAAAACTAGGAATTATTATTATTAGTTTTCCTAATTCTTAGCCCATCTTGAGGCTCCACTTCCACTGGAGATCAGTGGCCTGCTTCATGTTCCCTTCCCACCTAAGAAGATACAGTATTAGGAATTCACATATGTGTTAGCACAGGGGAGAAAGAACACCCCTCCATTGCCCCTGTTCAGATCTGCTGTTTTCCTCTAGAGAAGTCAGCCATTTAGCAAGCATTTGTAGAATATATGCTCTATGAAAAATGCTGTGTTTCAGGGGTGAGGGAAACACAAAGGAAGAAAATAAGGTTCATGCCTTCTTGGGGTTCACAGTTGAGTGAGGAATATGTGCTTATATATAAATAACCTTAACATGACTGGTGAATGCGTTGGGAGTGGCGATAAATAATATGCTATGGGAGGGAAAGTGATTAATTCTAACTGAGGGGATCTAGGAGAACTTCTCTTAAATGAGATGGGATTTCAGCCAGGCTGTAGAGGATGGGCAGGATGTTGGCAAGGGATGGGGGAGGGGAGCATCAATCAGAGAAAATTGCTTCAGACAGAAAAAGATTCAGCAGTTACTAGCTAAGAAGTTTGCTGCACTGCTTCTGAAACACACGCACACGCGCGCACACACACACACAGTCTTCTGAGAGAAAATACTGTATTCTCCCAGATATTCTGTTCAGAATTGTCCAGAAATATTCTCCTCCTAGTATAAACCCACAAAAAAACTATAGGGGCAGTTCTATAAGCCTTCAGTAGCCATTTTCCTCGCTTCAAAATGAAGAACAGAGATGTTCTCATTCCCTACCCTACCACTAAAACTTGTTTAAAATCCCTATGGGTAACATGCAACTTCAGCTAGTTTGATAGACTTCCGTAGCTTAGCAATCCCAACGTTTTCTGTGTTTCTCTGTGTGTTCTAAAGAAAGTAGAAAGGCTTAACTGAAAAACCAAATCATCTCCCCATTAAATGTCCATTTTTCCTCTTTGATGTCATTATTCTGTCTGGGAGAATTAATTGGATGGCTATGAATGTTATTTTGCCTTTGCTCTGAAATATTTCTCAAGACTGGTCAATGGGAAATGGAGGCAAAATGTAGGTGTTGCAGAGAAGTGGAGAAATACTTCTAAATACCAATTAAATATATTATTTGAAAAACTTTTTAGAAAGATAACTGGATCCAGAGTAGTATCTAGGCACCTTTTTAATAAAAGGAATACCTTATTTAGATATTATATAGTTATTTGGATATTATATAGATAATTGGGGGAATATGAAGCCAGAGGAGAAAAATATTTCAAAATGACATACTTCTTTTGAAATGAAATAGCTACTTTGCTACAACAAACTCTGAAAACAGGTCATCATCCTCTGTATTATAATTTTGCCAGGACTGTGTTCTTGAGTTCCCTGTCCCGTTCTCCTGCCTAGCAACCAGACTTTGCCTAACTAGAGAAATGGCCCATGGCAAGGATGCTCCTTGAGTCCTCTTCATCATCCATTTTATTTATAAAACAAAACCAGTTAAAAAGAAAACAAAATTAGTCTCACTGTGTAACAGTTATTATTTCAAGATGCCATATTCTGATTCTTTTTTATTTGAATACACTCTGAGAACTCTGCCATTATCGTTAAGGTTTGTTAATAAAGAATTTTACTTATCCTAGCTTTAGGGAACTCTGAAAAGTTAAGTGACCTTGTGGAGACTGTCTGCCTGAGTTAAAATACAATGTGAAGTCTATTTCTTTTTTTTTTTTTTCCTTTTTGTCTTTTTTTCGTGACCGGCAACAGATCGCAACCCTCAGTGTTGCGCCCATACCGGACCGGGACCGGCAACGGGATCGCAACCCTCGGTGTTGTGCCCGCACCTCACTCAGCCAGTGAGCGGCCGGTCTGTATGTGGGATCTGAACCCTCGGCGGGAGCGCCGCCACGCTCCCAAGCGGCGCACTGTAGCAGTGCGCCACCGGGCCGGCCCTGAAGTCTATTTCTGGTGCTGGTTTAGTTTATGATATCCTCAAAAAATGCTACTTGCTCTCGCCAATCAGATGCTAATACAGGAGGATTTTGACAGAGATTTAGCTCCTTTTCAAAATTCCATTAGTGAGGATACTTTCTGCTTCCAAAAACAAGGTCATCGTGGAAATCTCTATGCATGACAATGGATCATTCTCAGATCTGAAATAATGACTGCAGAAGGCTGCCATATTGAACCACTTAGCCTGAGATCTGCTCAGATATTTGGTGGAACTGGGCCTCTCCTTGGCCATATTGGGGTCCTCTCTGAAACATGCAGCCTCCCATTTTCTCTCCTTTAATTCCTCTTCATTTGAAAGGTGTAATTGCAGACTGGCCAGTTAGCTCAGTTGGTTAGAGCGCAGCCTTATAACACCAAGGACACAGGTTTGGCCAGCTGCCAAAAAAGAAAAAGAAAAAAATGTAATTACATCACAAACACTGTAGATGTTAGTGATGGAGCTTAAGTGCACATCAGACACTTGCCTGTTTCTGCTTACATTCTGTGAGACTTTGGAAAACTTAACCTTTTAAAAGTGGGTGGGCCCTGCAAAGCTGCAGAAAAATATTTAAACATTTCTGCCTTAGAGACAGAAATTTATACCTATTCATTAGGTAGATCTAAAATATAGCAGAGCCTATAAAAAGTGGAGAAATAAGATTCTTAGTGGGAATATTTTTTCCAGATGCTGAGTTAGAGACTTCTTTGACTCTCACTTGTATTTTCAGGGACCTTAATTTCTGATATGTAACACATTCACCATGAGATCATGTGACAAACGTTCTTTAATTGCTGAGGAAATTGCTCGGTGCATGGAACCACAGTATTGGATGTAGCCTTGATTCTGAGGGATGCAGCTTGTAAATGCTTTTGAGCACCTCTCATCAAGCACCCATTTAAGCTCAGACATAAATAACAGAATTGACAAAATTCTACAAAATGTGAGGTTACAGGGCCGGCCCGGTGGCGCACTGGAGAGTGCGCCGCTTGGGAGTGCGGCGGTGCTCCCGCCGAGGGTTCGGATCCCATGTGGAGACCGGTTCCCGCTCACTGGCTGAGCGCGGTGTGGGCGCAACACCGAGGGTTGCGATTCTGTTGCCGGTCCCCGGTACGGGCGCTACACCGAGGGTTGCGATCCCGTTACCGGTCAGTAAAAAAGACAAAAAGGAAAAAAAAATGTGAGGTTACAAATAGCTAACAATAATCAAATTTTTACTGTGTGCCAATCATTTTACTAAGTGTTTTAAAAGTACAGTTATGGGAGTTCTTGGTCAAGGTGGCAGAATAGATGGTCCCCAGCATCACTCTCTCCCACAAATCAACCAATTTACAACTATAAAAATGTAACAACAGCCAAGCTGGGGCCGCTGGAGCTCAGGGGAAGAGAAGGAGAAATGTATGGAGTTCATGAAGGCTGGAGAAACCATGATAATGAGAGAAAGAAAAAACTGCTCGAAGCGTTTCAGGCCGCGGCCATTTTAAGGCTGGAGCTGTTGAGCACATGGAGCAGGAGCTGGCAGAAGCCACAGCTGTGCCCTTCAGATGGAGTTGCTTGGAGGCAGAAGGGGAGAAGAGGGCCTTGGTGGCCCCCAGGACAGCAAGACCACTAATAGGGTTCCCATGGATCCATGCCGGAACAAGGAGCCAGAAGAGCTGAAAGAGGAGCCATGCAGAGGCTGGTGAGTCATTGCAAGGGACTGGCACAGGTCCCATCCCATGGGAAGTGTTTGGAGCACAGGCAGTGGGAGAGATGGGCCCACCGGGAGAACACTGGGACACAGCAAGGATAGCTGATCTGCCTCCCAATCAGTGCAGGCCCACTCAGGAGACTGGTCAGGAGTGCAGAATTGCATGGGGTGTAGTTTGATGAAAAAAACTCAGGCCCAGATCAGAGTTTCTACACAACCCAGGTGCACTGGGTCTCTGGAGGGCCAGAACTACCTATAAGGTCAACCATTAAACCCTGAGCTGCACAAAAAGCCTTCACTAGGGAAACAGCAGCAAAGCAGCAATTTAGCTCAACCACACAGCTCAAGTACTGGTTCCCACAGGAAGGTCCCCTGTGTTAGAAGTAAGCAAAGGGGGGATGGCCCGGTGGCGCACTGCGCTGGTGCGCCGCTTGGGAAGCGTGGCGGCGCTCCCGCCGAGGGTTTGGATCCCACATACAGACCGGTTCCCGCTCACTGGCTGAGTGAGGCACAGGGGCAGCACTTAGGGTTGCGATCCCGTTGCCGGTCCTGGTCCGGTACGGGGGCGACACTGAGGGTTGCGATCCGTTGCCGGACATGGAAAAAGACAAAAAAAAAAGAAGAAGAAGTAAGCAAAGGACATAAAATTAGTTCTGGCCCAGGCACACCACCAGTGCCTCGGGGCCTGCCAGGGGACCTGAGACACCTCGGGACCAGACACCCCCACCCACAACCAGGCATACCGCCAGCACTTCGGGGCCCTGCCCAAGGGCCCAAGGCATAGAGCCAGGGACTGGACCCTCCCCAACCAGGCACACCACCAGTGCCAAGGAGCATGCCAAAAACGTCACCTCATGTGGGAGGCCCACCACAGCCACCACAGTAACCATGGCTGCTGCGAAAGTGTCTAGAAGTCACAGCCATCACGCAGATGGTCCACTGGCCACTGGAGTGCATTGACACAAGGAGAATCACCAGCAGAGACCAAAGAAGAGGATGTCTGTCTCCACAAAGCCCATTCCAGAGTGACAGAAGAAGCCGCTGCTCTATGATAATATTGGGGGACCTGAACGCACCTCTCAGCATTCAACAGATCATCTAGGCAACAAATCAACAGAGTAACCATTACTCTGTCAGAAGGAGAGAAGAAATCTAGGGTTGTCAGTGGTGGGTGTGGGGAGGGGGAGGGAGAGGGAGATAGGGAGAGATTGGACAAGGGGCATAAAGAATAAGTACGATTTGTAACAATATACATACTAGTAATATTGATTTGATCAACATGTCAACATTCAATTCCCAAAATATGTATAATCAATTATGATTCAATAAATAAATAAAAACAAAAGTACGGTTATACACCACATAACATTGTTTTGGTCAACGATGGACCACATATACTACAGTGATTGGAAGAAGAGGCTATACCGTCTAGCCTAGGTATGTAGTGGGCTATACCAACTAGTTTTGTGTAAGTATACTCTATGATTGCATAAGGAAATTGCTGAATGATGAATTTTTCAAACATATTCCCATTGTTAAGCACCCCATGACTGTATAAAATTAATCCTCACATCTATGCAATGAGGTAGGTAATATTATTATCTCTTTGTTACAGAACCAATGCATAGAGAGGGTACTGAATTTGCCCAAGGTACTAGGGAGAGCGGGTTTGACCTCATACTGTCTGGCTCTAGATCTTTAAGTCACTATACCATTGCCGTTTCCTTGAATAAAAAGAGGCTGGGGTAAGGGGAGAGAGGCAAGAATTAAATGTCTTTTATCTGAAAATATCAGCCAGTGAATTGATTGCCTTTTAACATTTATTTATTACTATTATTTACATTTAAATAGCATAAGATTTTTCATATGGATTTCTAATTAATTTTAGCGGATACTTAAAACTAATATTCTAAAGAAATTAGATATTATTGTCTAAATATTTTGTTGGTCACAGAGATATCAGGATAATCTAGCTTGGAACCCAAAACAAGAGTGAGGAGTGGGATTCAATAGATTTTGGGCTTTTAGTATTAAGTATGCCCAGAACTCATGCATTTTTAAGTCAGTTTTGAGATAATTAACAAAAATAAATTAGATGCTTAACAAGTTGGTATGATTCTATGCCTGGTATTTCTTTCATAGCCACTGCTTTTTACTGTATTTCCATAATAAGTACTTTATACTTCTTACCAATTTCTAGAAAATCAAGTCTTCTTTGATAGTGAATATATGCCTAAATCAAAGCAAGAAAATGCAGCAGGAATTTATCTTCCTTGGGCTTCTACTAGGTTGGGAGGGCATTTTCCTTCTGTCCAAATGGTATTTTGATTGACAGGAGATTTAGAGAATTCTCTCAATAGCCTATTACTGGGTCTAACTTCCTTTATTTTATGCACACCTACATAAACATCAGGTTAAGCTTGATGTTCCAGGGGCCAAATCATGTAAATACAGAAGTTAGATTCATTCTCATACTGAAATGCAAAGGATGTAATAGAATGTGAAAATATATTTAAACTTTACTGGCTTTGGAGCTCAAATGGGGCCTAGACTTTTCCGATTCATTGTTAGCAAAGTGGCACATTCATGTCAACAGAGGGAAGGGGTATGGGGAAAGACCCCACCCCCCATGATATCTGAGTGAATTAGAACACATGGAATTCATTTTTCTCAACGCATTCAAGTCTGATTGCATCCTGCACGGCTACCATTCAACTTATTGAGATTCCATGGAAAGATTTTATACTCTGAAGAGATCATGGCTTGAATCCTAGCTTCTCCGTGTATTTAACTGTGGGCAAGATACTTAACCTCTCTGAGCTACAATTACACCCCCAACCCCACCCACAAATGCTGTAAAGATCAAATTATAAAAGAAATGTCTAGTGCCTAATATTCCAGGCACATAATTTATAAATTGCAAGGTACTTAGCTGAGTGTCTGGCACATAGTAAATGCCTAGTAAAGGGTAGCTGCAATTATTTATAATATTTGGGTGTTTGTTTCTTCTGCTTACTACCACCTTTGACTCTTTTTACTACTCCAGACTCGGCAAAAAACAAAAAAAAAGAGAAAAGGAGGTGAAAAGCAGTCAGTCCTTTGGACAGGGTAAATGATGAAATAAATTACTGAAATTAAGTTTAAAAATTATATATGGATTTAATTTTTCCATTTTCTACCTTTCTCCTATTATCATAAATGAGAGTTGAATGTATTATCAATAGCAACATCATCATCTTCATCGTGGACCTGATCACACAGACCAAATTTCATGCTATAAAAAACTGACCTACGACCCTTTCAGGACACCAGTGTATTTATTAAAAACAAAAACAAACAAAAACTACTCGCAGAAAAATTCTGAGTTATCACACGTGGGTGAGATTTTTCCCAGAGAGAATTTACTGCAGTCTGATTACAAGCCAGATTTATATCTTCTCCAATTATAACTCAGAACATTTGAGGTTTTTGCAAAATTCAATAAACTATCCTTTTCCTGTCACCTCCCTTATTTCCCTATTGCCATTTCGAAAGCTCGGCCTATTGAATTCATTGTCGTCATCATCATATTTCAAGTAGAGCAGTTGTTTTGAACTCTGAAGATAATTGTTATCAGACTTCCATTACTTAGGAAACATCCTTCTTAGAGGAGACACCTGGTGAGACAGACTGAGATTTAAATCCTGACTCTGCCACTTTTGTCCTTGGGCCCATCTCCTTATCAGTGCGGTGGGGTTAGTAATACTTCTGGAGCTTTGAGGATGAAATGGGAAAATAGTAATACAGTGGCCATGGTACCTGGCAGTAGTAGGTTGCCAATAAGTGTTCCTTCTCCTTTCTACCTCCACCCACTTAGTAAATTTAAACACCTGTTTATTGGTAATAATGCTGTACCTTTCTTTTGTTTCAAGGATGTGCTGTTGGGGAAAGACAATGGCTTTGGTCTTGTGAATGATCCACGTTATTTGGCTGGCCCTGGATCTAGGTACGTATGTATATTTGTGATGTCTACTGCCTATGAATGCTGCTGGAGTTAAACTCCTTTCTACAAAAAATGGAAATGTGACGTTATAATGTTGCATAGTGCTGCCTTTTCAATTTGTGTAGGCCTTGGGAGATTTTTTATTTTTTATTTATGAATGACTTTCTCTAAGAATAACCTTGTTCAAAATACGTTTTTTGAATGCATGCTATTGAGGAAATGGTTAACTTCTAACATGTCTGACCTAGGATAATTAATGGACATGCTCTCTAAGCATATGCTATGACTCTCACAGACGGGGCTTCTCGTGTGTAGCTGATCTCTTCCAGTGCTGTGTGCAGAGGCTCAAGTGTGGTGACTGAGTGCTAGGGGAGGAATGGGCATTTCCTGACAGCTTCACAGGGCAAGACATACTCCCAGGAAGCACCTGAAGTGAAAAAATAAAGCTCAATGTCATAATTTTTAGACACTTAGGGATAGAAAGTAGCAGGAAAGTCATTTAAAAAAAAAAAGCCATCAAAATCATATTTCCTAGGTGGAAAAACTTAATGTACAATTTTTTAGAATTTGAATTTTTGAACTATTCACATGGGGCTTAGTAAGAATTTTCCAAAGAGGGTTTTCCCTGAACCACATGCCTTGTATGTAGTTTTAATGCAGCATCACAGCTATCTACTATAGTCTATTATTACTAATGATAATATTCCTAAAACCTCCTTATTACTTTCCATGTTTTTTCAAGCCAATTCCTTAATTTTTATATTTCATTCAATCACTGTTTCTTTCTCCTTCTACATTTACTTTCTCAATAATTTAACCTACTACTGTCATGTAGAAGCAGTCAACATGGTGAGGAAGTGGGTATTAAGTTATCTCCTTTACAGCCAAGAGCAGCCTTTCATGGTTATATGCTCTTGCCCCTGTAGCTGTGTTTAAAGGGAAGAAAGTATTCAAGGTGAGACAGGATTTTGGCTAGTTCAGATACATTAATAAAAAGCTAGAGAGAAGGGAAAACTAACAGTGAAGTAGAGCACTGCTAAAAAGAGGATTGGTTTGAAGTCAAAGGTGGGACTAAAGAATAAAAACTCAAATAACCCTATTTAAAAATGGACAAAGCAATTGAATAGACATTTCTCCAAAGATGGTAGGCATATGGCCAACAAGCACATGAAAAGATGTTCAGTGTCACTAATCATCAGAGAAATGCAAATCAAAACCACAATGAGATATCACCTCATACCCATTAGGATGGTTACTATCAAAAAAGCAGAAAATAACAAGTGCTAGCAAGATTGTGGAGAAATTGGAACCCCTGTGCACTGTTAGTGGGAATGTAAAATGGTGCAACAGTATGGAAAACAATGTGGAGATTCCTCAAAATGTTAAAAACAGAACTACCATATGATCTAACAGTGCCACTTCTGAATATATATTGAAAAGAATTGAAAGCAGGGTCCTGAAGAGAGATTTGTACACCTATGGTAGTCACTAGGCACAATAGCTAAAGAATGGAAACACCCCAAATGTTCATCAACAGATGAATGGATAAACAAAATATGGCATATACATACAATGTAATATTATTTAGCTTAAAAAGGAAGGAAATCCTGTCACATGCTACAATATGGATGAACCTTAAGACCATTATGCTAAGTGAAATAAACCAGTCACAAAAAGGCAGTACTGTCTGATTTCACTTATATGCGGTACTTACAGTGGTCAGATTCATAGAGATGGAAAGAAAAATGATGATTAACGGGGTGGGGGAGGATGAAGAGTTGTGTAATGGGTATAGAGTTTCAGATTTGCAAGACGTAAATGTTCTGGAGATTTGTTTTACATCAGTGTGAACATACTTAATACTATTGAACTGTACACCGAAAAATGGTTAAGGTGAAATTTCATGGTGTTTTTTTTTACCACAATGAAAAAAATTTTTTTTTTTTTTTTTTTAAGGTGAGACTAATTGCTCTCAAAATCTACTCTTGTCTATTAGGATTTCTGAATACATATCAACAGACTTTGTGGGAGCCTCTCACATTGTATTATAAAAGGGACTTGAACAAAATTTTTTTCACCATAAACTTTGTTCCTGAAAAACACAAAACAATCACCATAGAAAAGCATTTGTAAACAAACTAAGCCTTTAATTCAAAGATCATCTTCAAAAATACACATACCACTTTAGTATGGTTTGTATAAACTATGAAACATAAACTAAAAACATTGTATCAAAGTTTATTGAGCTGGATTTTTAAAGGATAAGTGTTATGTTACTTTATTGTATTTTTAGTGATGTCTCCTCCTTTTTAAAAGCCTCAAGATATAAGTATGATAATTAAAATAAAGGCACCTGAATTAGTCATTACAACATTCCAGTTGACTCCTTATCCTCTTAGATGATGCTAAGTTTAAGAATAGTTCATATCCTACAGTCTGAAGAGCAGGTGGGCAGAAGAGACACCATTTGTTCAACAGACATTTACTGAGGGTACTTTGTCCCAGGCACTGAGGATGCCAGAATGAGCGATACATGGAAGTATGGAGCATCCCCAGAGCATCTCCTGCTTCTGGGTTTTATTGTGTTTTTTTGGTGTTTCACTGGAATCCAAACCCTTGACCTTTGTGTTATCAGCACTGCACTCTAACCAGCTGAGCTAATCTGCCAGCCCAGCCTCTGGGTTTCTAAGATCCCCATTGGGGGAGCCACCAAGAAGTGCAGAGTGGCCCATCGTAGATATGGAGAGGGTCTGTGATGGGAAGGAAGGAGTTGCATCTGAGAAAGATGGGCTCTTTATTCCATCATCTGCATCTATAATAAAGAAAAAATAAAGGTGTGAGAAGAGCTTATTTTGTTCTTTGCAGATCTTTCCCTTCCACATGCTGCATTATCTTTGCCTGGCACTCAGAGGATTTCATAGCAGGCCCCACAGTGTTGCTTTGATGTGGGACTGAGTCACAGCACCCTCAGAGACGTCACATCTGTGAAATAAAAGTGCCATCTGCTCCCCAGATTCACTTGCATAGCCAGTCAGGGAACTACAAATATGGAATTTGCAAATTACAGTGGGTTTGCTGGAGATTTTTTTAGCCTCAAATTTACTCTTGCATAGCAGGCAGCCTGTGCTGTAGGTTTTCTTTGTTTTGTTCCCCATTTTTTCCTTTAGAACACAAATAACAAAAGTATTAGGAACTGTCAGGGTTTCCTCTGGATCCTAGAAAACAGTTGTTTCAATCACCATGCACTGTATTTGCTTATTACTGTCACCCTCTTTCTCCAGAGGTGACTGCTTATTAGCTCCTTAGGTGAGACTCTTTTTTATTTTTCATCTTATGAAATGAAAACACAAGGAGACTAATAGAAAGTTGTAAATAAACCTTCAAATTCAGCAGCACATGCAAATGTTCCCAAAGAGGCCTCCCCCATGGGGATCATACCAGGAGAGAATGAGGCAGCATTCTTTTGCCCCTGAGACAGGACCTGTTCCCAGAAGTAGTCCTAAGAGGAGCTGAAGAAATGTGCTACTTGTGTCCTTTTATACCCTAAAGCCTGTCTTCAAAGGCCACCTCATATGTGGGATGTGTGCAGGAGGTAGAGGTGGTGAGAGAAGATAAATAGAAGGAAATGCTTTGTGAACCCAGGCATTCCATGTGACGTTTTCCTGTAGGAGCTTGTGCCCGGCTCATGCTTGATTTAACTTGCTGCTTTCTATGAGCAGCCAGGGGAGGACAGGGTACAGCTTCTCTGGGAGGGACTCTTCCCATTAAGTGCTCTTCCCATCTATATAATGATCCCTGGGCTTAGTGTTTGCCTCTTTATTCAGAGCTGTAACCCTCACGTCTGTATCCTGTTCCAGGTCACTCAGTTGTTCAGAAAGAGGCCAAGAAGAGATACCATTATTCATACACCATCCTACCCCTCGCAGAGCTGTAACCCTCACGTCTGTATCCTGTTCCAGGTCACTCAGTTGTTCAGAAAGAGGCCGAGAAGAGATACCATTATTCATACACCATCCTACCCCTCGTTGGGATGGTTTAGGCTGCAAAGGAGTTGATGGTTCCTCAGTTCCTGGTGACCATCCTGGAGTCCTGGACCATCAAAGGCAAGCCAGCAGAACACCTTGCCCCAGGCCGCTGCCGGCAGGAATGCCAGGGCATCTGACAGACACCAGGGCTGTGCAACTGACCCCACTCAGCTCCCCTCTGCCTTCACCTGTTCCCTCTAGCTACTGCTCACAGGTTGCCACTGACCAGCAGTCTGGAAGGGACGGTCAGGCAGGGCAACAGTCTCTTGCACCTTGCACCCCTGCAATGACCCACAGAAGCAACGGTCACACCTTGACCCATCCTCCGAGTCCAAGAGGCTGTGAGGTCAACAGCTCAGAGCATGGGGTAGAAGAGGGAATGAGGAAGAGAGCCTCACTGCCTCAGTGGCCACCGCCTCCTCGGGCAAAGTGGGCCCAAGCAGTCAGGGAGGACAGCCTGCCTGAGGAATCCTTGTCACCTGAGTCTGCAAACCTGAAGCACTATAAAAACCAGCAGAACCCTCCAAGTTCATGCAGCACTTCTGACCCAGACACGCCTCTTAGGGCCCCAAGCACTCCAGGGAGGATCTCCCTCCGCATATCCGAGTCGGTCCTGCTGGCGTCCCCGCCACCTCGGGACGATTATGAGGATGAAGTGTTTATGAAGGACTTGCACCCCAAGGCCACTTCCAGCCCCACATTTGAAGCTCTTCCCCCACCCCCACCTCCTCCACCTCCACTGAGCCAGGAAACCCCAGTGAATAGCATGGATGACTTTCCTCCACCTCCTCCCCAAACCGCTGACGAGGCACAGCTGCTGGACAGCGAGGATTACGAGGAGCCCCGCAGCAGGTGAGTGAGCAGACTGGCAGGGCAGGCCTTCAGCCGAGGAGGGAAGACAGGGCTCCCCTCACTAATAGGAGCTGTACGTGCTCCAGGCTGCCCAGCTCCTGCCATGGCAGAGCCCTGGTATGGAGGTTTCTCTGTACAAGCCCAGCTCGTGAGACTGGCAGAACTATTTCATTTGTTTAACTTGGGTGGTAGTTATGCTAGTGTTCACTGGGTACCAAGGAGTGAGGGCGGTGAAAACAAAAGCCAAAACCCAAAGACGCAGTTCACTTCCAAGGACATGATAGGTTCAAGGGGTCCAAGTAAATACCCTCCTTCTTCCTGGCTGAGTTCTGAATCAGCTAAGAAATAAGACAGAAGAGGGAGGCATATGGAAGACAAAAATACCATTTTTACTACCAACTGAGCTGATATTGAAGAATGTGGCTTCTGTATGAATGTAAATGGGTCTCCTGATACTGAACCCCAAATTAAACAGATTTACCTACCTGGCCACAGGCTGTGCTAAACATACGTGTACACACACACACACATACATATACACAGATAGATATAGCCTCAAGGCAGCATACTGTTCAAAAGAAGGAGAAGAGACTGGGCTGTGAATGGTCAGCTTCTCTTTCCAAAGTCACTCTATGTCTATAGGAAGGAACAAAGAATAGGGCTAAAGGTCAGTAATGTTTAGGGAAAATCTCTTCTTGGAAGCCAGAGTAATGCGGAGGAAGTATTTCCCAGCACACGATCCCTAGGACAGGTAATCTCGCACAACATCAAGAAAATCATTGCCTGATGTCATATTTGGGGTAGCTCCCTCTAAACACCACAAGAGTGACTTAACACCACAAGAGTGACTTACCACCACTACCCTTTATTCACCTGGACCTTTCAGAAGCTCTGGAATCTAACAGTAACATTCAACAAAACTGATTTGTACTGGATTCATCTCCCTTAGGACACGGCATCCTCTCTGGGACCTACTACTCAGCTTGGGAGAAGGCCCTTTAGAACTCTGCAGTTTGTTTTTGTTTTTTTGGTGGTGGGGGGTATAATAACCTCAGAAATGGGATACCTCACCCCACTCCTGATGTGGGAAGCTCCTGAGAAGCTTCTCCCTCAGTCTTCCTAAACCCTCTCATCTTTACCCTTTTGTTAACTCTTCTCTTACTACTCTCTTATTTTGTATCCCTCACAGCTCCAGCAAGTTTCCCAAGATGACAATTGCAAGGGAAAGGGACATGCCCGGTGCAGCCCATTTTGTAGGTAGTAAGATACTGGCTTCCAGACCCCAGGCTTCTATCAGGGGTTCAGAGGCTAGCCCCCCCTCCATCATGGCTGTTCAGCCCCAACTTGCTGGGTCTTTTGGCAAGCAGCCAAGCCCAGGGCAGCCACCTCCCATCCAGACTCAAAGCCTCATCCACGATCCGGTCAATGGAACTCAGGGTATAGAAAAGAAAGTCAGTTCTGATCCTCAGAAGACCTCAGAAGACATCAGAACAGAGGCTCTGGCCAAGGAAATTGTCCACCAAGATAAATCTCTGGCAGACATTTTGGATCCAGACTCCAGAATGAAGACGACTATGGACCTGATGGAAGGTTTGTTTCCCCGAGACGTTAACTTGCTGAAGGAAAACAGTATAAAGAGGAAGGCCGTGCAGAGAACTGTCAGCTGCTCAGGATATGAACGCAACAGGTATGTCCCCAAAGAAAGTTATCATTGAAATCCTTCCATGGGGTGATGATAAATCTAGGACTACTTATCTGATGTTTTCCTACTTCCACAGATCCTGACCCAAAAATAACATTCCATCTCAGCCTTAGGAGATGACTCTGAGGAGTAGGGTGTGGGACAGATGCCCAAGAACAAAAGTAACAGCAATATTAATAATAATGAAATTGCTGTTAACACCTATTCACGTTCTATGTGTCAAGCATTGTATTAATTTCTTTATATAAACTATCTCATTTAATCCTCATAAGAACCTTCTGAGGTAGCTACCAATTTATCTCCACTTCACAAATGAGAAAACTGAAGCAGTGAGGAATTAAGAACATGCTCAGCCAAGGTCATAGGATGTGAGAGTGATGCCACCTGGCTTTGGACTCAGCCCCTGTGACTGTGCCTGTTCTCTCAGTGTTGATACAATGCTCAGCAAATGTGCGATTTCCCACTCTCCATCAGAGCTGCCCTTGCAGAGGCTTCTGGGGCTCAGCGTGAGAAAGGGCATGTAGAAGTGGTGAGCACGGCCGAGGCCTCCCCAAGGCTGAGGTGGACATGGTCTCTATAGAAGGATGAGGGCCTGGGGAAATAGATTTACAGTCATGCTTTGTTTAGTGACAAAGATGCGTGCTGAGAAATGTGTCCTTAGGTGATTTCGATGTGTGAACATCATAGAGTGTACTCACACAAACCCAGCCTATATGGTATAGCCTGTTGCTCCCCAGCCACACACCTGTACAGCATGTTACTGTGCTGACTACTGTAGGCATTCGAAACGTAATAAGTATTTGTGTGTCTAAACATATCTAAGCATAGAAAAGGTACAGTAAAAATACAGTATTATAATCTTATGAGACCACGTTGTATGTATGGTCTGACCTTGACTGAAACATCATTATGTGGCACATGACTGTATTTACTACACTGACATTCATCTTTGAGTCATTAAGGTGGGTGTTTGCTCAAATCCTAAAATCAAGAATGGTCTGAGTGGGAGCCACATTCTTCTGGTTTTTTTCCTGAAGCTCCTTGAGCCCTGCCTGTTGACATTTGTATAAAATTTGTCCTGGTGCCCAGCCACACGGATGAAAGACCATGAATAGTCTATTTTTCATTCTTTTGATATCTCATGGGTTATTGTAATATTTTCTCGCATGTTTGATTTCCTTAAGGGACTACTATGGGAAAGATTTAGAGTGGTTTTTATTTTCTTTTTAGTTTTTCAATGAAAACTATGTGTTTTGACAGACTGGGACTCAGCAGTTAGTGGCTTCCAGACTAAATAAAAATAGGGCTGGCCGGTTAGCTCAGCTGATTAGAGCATGGCCTTGTAACACCAGGGTCAAGGGTTCCCTGTACTGGCCAGCCTAGAAATTTTGGGCTGATCTTAACTAAATTTCTAACGGGAGCATCATGTTTTGTTTTTGAGGGGGGTGGGAAAAAGCATAGAGTATGTGATACTTACAAGCTATTTATTATGTGATCAGAGACTCTCCTAAGGCAAGGTCTTAACAGTCACCTGGTCCAGCCCCTACTTTTTCAGATTTGGCAAATGTAGACTAATTGAAGTAAAGTGACTTATCTAGAGTTATGCATTTAGCAAACATTTACTGAGCACCTGCAATGTGCAAGGCAATCCACTGTGTACCACAGGAGCCCCAAAGATGAGTTTTTGTGGGTGTGCCAGTCAGTTCACCATGCATGGTTATAGTGTGGTCATTCTGTTCTGTGACCACTCACTGTAGAGAGACTTAATTTAGAAATACCTCGTTAGAAAAGTATTTCTTAGCATTAGCCACTTGGGAAGCGTGGCGGCGCTCCCGCCGAGGGTTCGGATCCCACATACAGACCGGTTCCCGCTCACTAGCTGAGCGAGGGGCGGGCGCAGCACCGAGGGTTGCGATCCCGTTGCCGGTCCTGGTCCAGTACGGGCGCAACACTGAGGGTTGCGGTCCGTTGCCGGACACGAAAAAAGACAAAAAAAGGAAAAAAAAAAAAAAAGAAAAGAAAAGAAAACCTTGTTCCTATATTTTAATCAATGGATTAAAAGTAGTTATGTTGCTTAGAAAGACAGTCATCAAGCAGGAAACTAGTAAAGATGACTTTTTTGTGTGTGGTTCTCTATTTAGTGGGTAGAATCTGAAATATAGGCTGAAGGGCAACTTGATTACAGTAAAACAGAGAACACTAAATATTAGGTTTTGCAATTTCTAGTTTTTTCTTCAGCCTTGAAACCCCTGTTGTATAATCAATTAGTACATTTTACATCTCGTTTTAGTTTACTATGGACCATCAAGCCCCAGATTCCCCAGGCTTATGTGGGGTATCAGGCCTACTTGAGAAGGAAATTGATGTGTCCAAGCAACAATACAAAGGTACTTCAAAAAGTTCATGGAAAGATTTGTATTATCTCTTAATTCTATTTTTCCTCGAACTTTTTGAAGTACCCTTGTATAGCAGGCATCAGAAAGGTTATGTTTAACCGAGGAAGAGTAGGGAAATAAGTAACCTAAAACCTGAGGTTTGTGCAGAACCTTGAAAATACTTTCACATTGATTGAGTCACGGCTCTGCATTGTCTTCCTGTGAAATAAGGAGTCGGTTTCATTCTTATATTGATCACAAAAGGAGAAACCTGCAGGGAGGTTAAATTTCTTACCCTGAGTCAGCTGTCAAGGCCCCAGTCCTGACTCCACTCCCATCCCCAGTACTGCCTTGGGTGGTTTTCCATACCAAGTTTGCTTGGCTCCAAGAGACCTATATATAGCAATCACTCATTAGTAAATATGTACTAGGTCATCCTAATTTCTAGGAAAGAAATGAAATAGAATCGTTTTATGTATTTCTGAAAGGACAAATGTTTGCAGTGAAATGAGGTTTCTGGTATGTGCTATGTGTGGCTGTACTTGGTGTTCTTTGTGGTCTAGGAGTGAAGACAAGGAAGCAGTGGGTATGTTGGTCAACTGCCCTGCCTACTACAGTGTGTCTGCTCCCAAGGCTGAACTTCTGAACAAAATCAAAGACATGCCAGAAGAGGTGAATGAGGAAGAGGAGCAGGCAGATGTCAACGAAAAGAAGGTAAATAAAGGATGCTGTGCCCTCGTTTTGCTTTCCCCAGAAAGATAAGTCAAGGTCCTTGTAATTAGCAGGGTTACTGGCCCCATAAGTCAGGAGGGCAAGGGATTGGTCTCATCACCAAACCTTGCCAAAACCATCACAGACTTTGGACTTGTGTAGCTCTTTAACTGACTTCCTCACAGCTCTCGTGGGAGTAGGCAGGGCAGGTAAGCTGTGGTCGTTTTCAGTTTTACAAATGACAAAAGTAGAGCTTAGAGGGTCAAGTTATTTCCTGAAAGTCTCACGGCTAGGGCCAGAACCTAAGTCCTCGGCCTCCCAGTCTAGCACAGAGAGCCCAGCCCTGCTCTTGGCAGCTGATCAGCCAGTTCTGATGATCTGTGTAATTTTTACTTCATGTTTCATGGTCAAAACAAAAACTAGAAAATCTAGAAACTTTAAGAGAGGCCAATTGTCAAATGACACTTCTGAGAAAAGGTGACATTGACCTATATATGTTCCCTAACTCTCTTTGCAGTGCCTCAATGAATAGCTTGAAAGAGCAGCATTGAAATTTAGTTATTAGCATTTGATATTCCTACAGAAATTTTTAAAAACTTTTTTATTCCAAATATTTTAACATTTACTTGTACATATTTATGGGATACAGTATGTTTGAATACATGCGTATGTTGCACAACGATTCATTTAAAGTAGATAGTATAGTTTTGTACCCATTAGTCCGAGAAATTTTAAGTGCTAAACATATTTAAAATGACCGTTCTGCTGCTATTGTCTTCCCACATGCCATGGAGATCTAAGCCAGCCTGCGTCTGCAGGGGATAAAGTTGTTGCCTTTCCACTTTCCCCTCAGCCCCAGAGGGACTGTGAGGGGCTGCCTTCCGCTGTGCTTACAGCTCCCCACACAACTCAGGCATGCATGCCGCAGAAGGACTCTTAAAGCTTGTTTCTTGCTGAGCCTGGAATGTGAGTGGTTTTCAGTGGTACTGATCCCAGGAGAATCAGAATTTCTTATATGATTATATTGTATTTGTTCTACAATGTGTGTCCCAAGCCCTCTTGTTCATCTACTGGAATGAAACCATAGGCCATAGACCCTCAGAGCAGGGAGTAATGGGACAGATGGGATTTTAGGGGTTTTAGAAGCACCTCTGTCAATGGCGTTCTTCTCCCTCCTACCACCCCCCAGCTCTGTGGGCTCAAAGCTGAAGTGCTGATGCAGCCATTGCAGTAACTCACCCCGCTCGGCCCAAGGTTTCCCCACTTAAATACCTGCTTCACAGCAGACCCCCTGGTATATCCCCACCTCAGCACTGCAGAGTGCCCCCACTGCTTGGGTCCTCTGACTGGAAATAAGACCCTTTGTTCTTGGGCTGTCTATATTTATCCCAGAGAGAGAGCTGTGTAAACACCATTACATATACCGGGTTGCCATGACATCTTCAGCTGAACATTTCACAAAGAGCTTGTTGTTTGTTTGTTTTGTTTTCTGCATGTAGACATACCTGCTTTACAGCAGCAGTGTGGCAAATTACTCATTGCTTTTCCCTCCCCATCTTAATTTTATTTTATTTATTTATTTTTTTTCCTTTTTGTCTTTTTCCGTGTCCGGCAACGGATCGCAACCCTCAGTGTCACCCCC